TATGTGAGATCTCACATCGATATGAGAAAAGAACGAGTGCCAGCAAGGACACTGGGCCTCGAAGGGGGTGAATTGTGAGATCCCACATCGATTGGAGAGGGGAACGAATGCCAGCGAAAACGTTGCGTCCTGAAGGGGGTGGATTGTGAGATCCCATATTGGTTGGAGAGGGGAACGAAACATTTTTTATAAGGGTGTGGAAATTTCTCCCTAGCAGACGTGTTCTAAAAACTTTATGGGGAAGCCAGAAAGGGAAAGCTCAAAGAGAACAATAGTGAGCTTAATTGGTTCAGTCTTGGGTAATGTGTTCAGATGGTGTTTGGTGTTTGGTTTTCTGCTTTTTCTGAAGAAATAACCTTCCTTTCATTGCTCATTCCTTATATCTATTTCGCAATCAGATTAATCTCTCAATGCTGTGTTCCACAGGTGCGAAGAACATGCGAAGAACGAAATTGAATTGCAAGAACTGGTGAGTATATATATATATATATATATAGTTTACATTCAGAATAATGGTCTTGTGTTCATAACTTGAAGTGATGCTCAAATTTGAGGCCATGTTTATTCTATAATGTGATTGTAATAATATTGGTGAAGCTTCAATTCCCTTTGTGATAAATCAGGTTGACAGCTTAGAGAAGGAGCTGAAGGAAGCCAAAAGGAAACATGCTCAGCTATTATTAGCTGTGGAGGCCAAGAGAAATCAAAAGAATGTAAACTAGCTGACTGAAACGTTCCCCGACCGAGAACGTCGAACAACTGCAATGCACCACTGTTAATACATCTAACCTCTCACCTTGCCTCCTCCTGATGCACCTTTTAGACTCATGAAGGTCCAAGCAATCTGGAAGAAGTCTGCAGCTAATGAACCAGACGATTGCTTTTGGTTGCTTGAATGCAATTTGGTCAGAGCCTTTGTGGGGGACAGAAATTTCATCTTTTGCTTTTTGTTTGAATTAAAGATCCCTACCATTGTTCTTACAATGTAATGATTTGTTCTTTCTTCTTCAGAAATCATGATGTTTATGAAATGAAGTATCTTGAGTATTGAGAGGTATAAGATATGCTCCTAAAGAACAAACTCTCTGACCATGAAATCAAAATAAAAAGCAACTAAACGTATTGTAGTCTTAAACTCCTTTTACATGTTTTCATTTTAGATAGGTCTTTACTATTTCATGCTGTGTTAATATGGGAGTGTATCACCGTTCACCAAAAATCATGTTCACACCCGTCATGGCTATACTATTTCATGTTGTGTTAATATGGGAGTGTATCACCGTTCACCAAAAATCATGTCCACACCCGTCATGGCTAAAATACCTCAAAATGTATTATAGAGGTGTAATAACCTAAGCCCATTACTAGCACATATTGTCTGCCTTAGTTCGTTACGTATCACCGTTAGTCTCACAGTTTTAAAACGCATCTGTTAGGTAGAAATTTTTGCACTCTTATAAGGAATGTTTCGTTTCTCTCTCTCCCCGATGTGGGATCTCACAATGCACCTCTTTGGAGACCCAACATTTTTGTTGGTACATTGTTCGGTGTTTAGCTCTGATACCATTTACAACAGCTTCCAAACCCACCACTAGCAGATATTATTTGATATTATTCTTTTTGAGTTTTCTCTTTCGGGCTTCCTCTCAAGGTTTTAAAATGCATCCACTAAGAAAGGTTATAAAGAACGCTCTATTCCCCTCTCCAATCGATGTATGATCTCACAGGGGATATGACTAGTTATCACTTTTTTCTACCTTGAATTATATGTTATTTAAGTCATATTCTTTCATTTGCTTATAGTCATATAACGTCACTTTCTTCAATTCTTTGAAATCGTAAACCCTAAACCCTAAACAATCGGTGCAAATAGTTGAATGGTTTTGATTTGGTATTAAGTTGGAAATGGCATGGGCAGATGGCACATAGGGAGAGGTGTAAAGAATTGGCCCCCAAACACAACAGGGATTGTCCAAGTATTACCAATGGCAGCATCTCATCTGTTCCTTTCTGTGCAACCAACAAGCAAGCAGTACCTTAGCACTTACTCACACACTAACCCTATATCACTAAACCCAAAAGCCATTTCTTTTGGAGCTTTTGTTTTGGCCTCAATTATTATATATCAACTCCCAGTGCTGTCAACTCAATGCCCTTCCAAAAGTTATAAACTTTCTCATAAATTAACCCTTCAAAACTTCAATCCAACCAACCTCTTTATTTTCTTATCAAAAAAAAAAAAAAAAAAGGAAAAAGTCGACTCAAGTGTTGAAGCTTCGCTAACCATCTCATCTTCTAATTAGATCAGTGGATATTGGTCTACCCGTACATAACTTAACTAATTTAGGCATATGTATTAAGAATCGTCTTTTTGAGATGCTTTTGCGCAGGTGGGTGTGTTTTCAATAAGTATGGAGATGGAGGGGATATGACCCCCGAGAAAACGAGAGTACGAAATGAACCAATACTACATCTGAATTAGAGTAATTTTGAAGATATGAAGTGTAAGAAGTGTTTAAAAGAGTTGATAATTACTAGGTCAATTATAGGAACTACAAAGTTAAGTATGTTTAGCTTACGGTAATTCTATATTAGGTGACCTCCTATGAGTTCCTAAAAAGCATGAGACTGAGGACAAACATGAATATTTAGGATTGAAAAATAGTTTAGTGAAGCAACGATGATGAACACAATTGGTAATCTTTAGGGTTTGTAATTAATGGTGGTGTCGTCATCATCATAATCTATGATAATTTATACTCCTTACATTCATACTCTTAGACGAACACGACTCTCCATAATTGTACGATCTTGTCCATTTCAAGCATAAGCTCTCGTGACTTTGCTTTGGGCTTCCCGAAAGGCCTCATTCCAATGAAAAGAGTATCTTTGAGCATAAGCTCTGCTTCCCAAAAGGTCTCATTCCAATAGAGAGAGTATTTTTTGATTATAAACCCAGATCATTCCCTAAATTAGCCGACTTTCATCATCGAACACATACCTCATCAATTCATAATCAATTTAATTTCATCTCTTCTACATATTAAAAGATGGAATATTTTTTTTGATGGTATAATAATAATAATAATGGAAAAGATAAGATTATAGTAAAGAAATTAAATATAAAAGGCCTACAACAACAACAACAAGTAGAGCTCTTTACCCAAAGATTCACTAAAATCCTTACCTTTTTCTTTTAAATGCTTTTTCAGAACAACAATTGCTTTCTACCCATTCTTCCTTCAACAAAAAACCATTTACACCCTTTAAAAAACACTCAAATCAAGCCCCTTCTGCATAAAATCATGCACAACCCCATGACGATATGTCACTCCGACTGCAAATTGAGCTTAGAATGATACGACTACTGACTTACAACGTTTATGTCACAGCGTTAAAGATTGGATGAAAGTCCCACCTCGACTAGTTTAGAGAGTGATCATTGGTGTGAGGCCTTTCAAGAAAGCCCAAAGTAAAGTCACGAGAGCTTATGTTCAAAGTGGACAATATCATACCATTGTGGAGAGTCATGTTCATCTAACAGAAAATGAGAATAAAGAGAAAGTGAGGAGAGATTTCTGTCTCAGGTCTCCCCCTCCTTATTATGTATATATGTATATCAAAATTAACTTACTATATATATATATATTTATTTATTTGTTATATATATATATATATATATATATATATATATATATATATATATATTATTGCATAAAAGGGTGGTAGAACTGAAAATGCTACATCCTATGCTATGTAATTTAAATGAATTGAATTATAACATAAGATAAAGATATGCATCATTAAATATTAAATATACTAAGCTCCCACTGCCACCACCCTAATCCCCTAATCCCTATTTCACGTGAACCCTATCTATTCTTTTTCTCTATTTTCTTTTTTTATTATTATTTTTTTTTAATTTCTTTTTTACTTTTTTTTTTACTTTTCTCATTATTATTCACCCTCTTCTCAATCTCCCCATTTTCCATTTCTCCTCCTACCCAATCCACCGCCGCCGCTGTTACAAGTTTCCTCTTTCCGGCACGGCGGCCGCCACCTCCATTTCGTTCTATTTTCAATGCATGCACGTTCTATTTTCTTCTTCTATGCAAATTCTTTTTCCATTACTTAAATTTGTTGTTATTAATTATATCCATTTTGTATTTTTTTTTTAATTTTATTATAAATTAATGACGACCACATCAAACATTTATAATTTTATGAATTCAACTCGAACAAAATATATATATATATATATATATAGAGGATTTAAAAGTGAGATTTTATAAGAAATATGGCATTTATTTATATAAATAATCTCTTTTTAATTTTTTTTTTAAAGTTATTATTTCTTCAAAATCGCTCTTATTCAAATGTGGTTTCAGTTCATTCATATATTTTTATTGTATTCAGAATATCGGTCCCGAAACCACATCCTAGATTCTGATCTAAACCTTGTACAGGGCGTTACATATTCGTTATGTTCAAGTCGGTTATCAATTAATATGACATGTAAACCTCTGTCATTAAAAAAACATCATAGTATAATGATAATTTGTGAATTAATTTAGTATTTTTCAATAATAGAAGAATTAAAAAAAAATGTGAATTTATGAATGAAATTAAATTACATTTTTATTTCTTTTTGTTAAAATTAACCCTAAAATTATATTAATTTGCCTATCATAATATTTTTAACAAAAAAAAAAAAAAAAACTAAATAAATTATTTATTTTAATATCTTTTAACTGTCAAATTATAAATACCAATTAAACTTGTCAGACAATTATAGAGTAGCTATGAAATGAATTATTGAAATAACAAAGAATAATTTCTAATTTCCCTTATTATTATTATTATAAGAAGAAATAATTAAAATTAATTAAAATAAAGGGTTAGGGTTAAATCGGCGAATTAAGTAGAAATTCGAACGCCGGCGACCGTACGGGGAAGCAGGACACCAAGTTCCAACAATGGCGGCAAATTAATGCAAAAAATAAAATAAAAATTACAGTTTTTTTTAAATTTATTCATGAAAAATTATATACTTTGCCTGCAATTTCCACTATTTCTCTTTTAATCACAATGCCCTAACGGAAAACCGTCGGCTAAGATGTCGGGGGCTGAAAAAATTGCGTACCGGCGGGGATGTAGCTGTTGAGTGGAGCTGGGTATGACGGCGGAGGATCCAGCGGTGCGGCGGACTCGGCGGTGGTGATGAGGAGGGCTCCGCCGTCCGGGGAGGCGGAGATGGGTGGGTTGTGGTGGTGGTGTTGTTGATCAGGGCCGTGGTCGTAAAGAATGCCCTTGAAGATATGGCCACCGATGTTGACGGCGGTTTGATAAGCATATTGATCGGTGCCGGTGGGTTCGTCTAATGTTGTCATCCGTACGCATCGGAACACCGCCGTGGAGTTTACTTCCGCCGGGAAATTCCCTATTTCAAACCCTAAAACCAAAAAAAAAAATTGGTTCTGTAAATCATGAACAAAATCGATGTGGGTTTTGTTCAAAAACTAAAATTGAATTAAAAATAAGAAATTAATTGTACCTGAAGAAGCGGCGTGGGTGTCTCTAGGGCGTTTGGAGTCACCGCCGGCAGTACGGATCAGCCGCTCACGGCGTTTGGAGGCTGGTACCCATGTACTTTTAACGTGGGTTTCACACAAAAACCCACGGCTTTTACAACATGTTCTACATCGCATATGAACGCAATCTTTTTTCGCTTGATTCCCACAATCTTGGCAGCTAATAACCTTCCCTCCGCCGGATCTCACCATCACCAGCGACGATCTCGCCGGCGAATTTTCGCCGGAGTAAACAAACCCTTCTCCACCTTGTTGCTGTTGTTCTGTTTCGAAGCTCTCATAATTCTTGTACCAAAGTAATCCGTCGGTTGGATGAATAATCTCACCGCCGCTGCTGCCGCCGCCTCCGCCGCCTAGTGGGAAAAAACCGGCCATAATTCCACCGGAGAGATTATGCCTAATTTTGAATTAAAATCCATATCAGAAAAAAAAAAAAAAAAAAAAAAAAAAAACAGCCTCTGAACGGCGATCGGAAGGCAGGGCGGAGAAAAGGGTATGAATTAAATTGGGAATCAGATTCTGTGTGTGTGTGTAAAAATGGAACCTGCAACGCCGCCATGGGGAACGGTGGCGCTAACTTAAATAAAGAACAAAACGCTTTCTTCTTCGTATGTTCTGATTTTGTTGCAGAGATGATTGATTACCCCTTTTCTCTCTCTTCCTCTTTCTATCTTACACATTTCCGGGATGATCCATCATCTACTAAATTCCCACCCTCATCCAACGGTTTACAATGTACCCACGTGTCGTTCTATGAGTAGTCCTTTTTTTATATAATAATAAGATTAAAATTATTGGTTAATTAATGATGTTTATAATATTTATTTTATGACATTTTGTTGCTTCTTTTTTACAATGTAATAGAAACCATAATTAAAATTTTATATTAATGTTGAACTTAGCTACATTATTGATGAAATAAAAGCTATACAAAATACAAGTCCATTAACTTATTAACTTATATTTAAGTTGACATTAATTATATAGTTTATCATTGTGTTATTTAATGTATAATTTTCAAAAAAAAATATATATTTTTTTTAAAAGTAATTATAATTATGAGTTTTTTCGATAAATATTTAGATATTTTAGAAATAAATTTTCAAAAAAGAAATAAATAATTTTGACTTTTATCATTTCAAAATTTCAAATTAGGTTGAAATTAAGTTCATTTCAATTAGGGTTTGGAGGGATTTTCTTTGAGATATTTAAAATCATCCTTCAATTTTCTCACTCTTAATTAATATATTGTAATAAATGAAGGTGACCACTTTATAGAATAAAATAGATATTTTATAATTAATTTATACTCGAGGGTTGTATCAATTAAAACGAACGAGGGTATCAATTAAAATCATGAATTCTTTTAAAAAAATTAAAAAAATTTAAATTCATGAACGCTTATTTTTTCAAATTGAGCGTAGAATTAAAGATATTTATTATTTAGTCAGATTCATTGGGAACGGCTAGAACGAAGTGAATAATTCTTACGAGAATAGGGGAGGGATCTGAAAGAGTTTTCTTCCGGACGAAAATTATATTCATAATCTATGCTTCAAATGTCTAACGTACCCTAATTATTTATTTATTAATATTAAGTAATAAATTGTTTAAGAAGGCACACTAACATTAAAATTAAAATTTTTAAATTTTAGTTTCTTTAAATAATTTTATTGGGAATAACGTTTTTTAAAATTACCTGTACGAGTAATATTACTGAAAATAGTTTAGAATCGAAATATGTCGAAACAAATAATTGAAGCAGGAAGAACAACTTGAGGGGAGAGATCATTTGGAACAAGGAACTTTAAGCACTTAGCTTTTCAATTCAGTTGGTTGGGTAAATAACGTACATGTATGAGATTTATAGTGGAGAAAGCACAACTGATCTCGGAATATTAGCTATGAATCCATAAGAACCCTAACAAGTGTCAGAGACGAAGATCGAGAGGAACGAGATGGAAGTAGAGATCTGTAGCAGAAAAAGACGAAGAAATGATTGAAAAAGAAGAAAAATCCAAAGAGATGAATGAGAAAGGTGAAAGAGAAAAGGAAAAGCTGTTGGATTTTGGGAGAGGGGAAAGGGAAAGGCTTGAAAGCTATGTGTGGTTTGGGACTTCCAATAATTGTTACCATTCCATGTTCCATCCATCCATCTCTCTCTCTCTCTCTCTCTCGAGCCGTGTGTTCGTGTTCCCATCATCGTTGACTCTCATCTCACTCATCGAAAAAAAAAAAAACAAGCGTGTATTATGGAGAGGATCTAACCCTACTTCGATCAGTGACTAGTTCTGATACCATTTGTAACAACTCAAGCCCACCGCTAACAAATATTGTTCGTTTTGGTCCGTTACATATCGATGTCAGCTTCATAGAACACGTCGACTAGGGAGAGGTTTTCATACCCTTACAAAAAAATGCTTCATTTCCCTCCCTAACTGACATGAGTGACCACCATTTCACGTGCTTGTTTCCCACCTATGTGCACCCAATTCACAGGCATTAGGGTTTTTCATTATTATTATGCTTCTTCATGTTCGAGGATAAAAGACAATGAACGTTGACTTTATTTAACATATTTGGTCAACCATACTCTAATGGATCGAATATTGTAGATGCAGTAGGTCATAGTCCAAACCAAGTGAGGTTAGGAAGTCGCCTAACTCAACCAACTCGACCAACTCTCTAGGAGTGCATACATTACCCTGATTGAGATCATGTGAGTTTGATGAATGACGTTCGATATGACCTTCTTTAGTGTTTTGCTACATCGAACTTGAAGGACCAAGTAGTTCACGGGCATTCACATCTCGAACAAATGAAACAGTACACGATTCACGAGCATTCACATCTCCACCGACACGATTCAGAGGTCGAAATGAAGAACAAATGGTTGAGTAAAAAAGGTAGAAGTAGACATAGCTGTCTCCTCCCAAGTTGCCAAACCAAACCAATGTTTGATTACATTCCCTTCTTAACTCCTACGCCCATCACAGTCTCCATTATTATATCATTGTTTATGACACTGAAAATGATATCTGATGGAATCACATGCACTGTGATTATTATATTTAGGTCCACACCCTCTTCTTTGTCTCATCCTTCTGCCTTCTATTTCCCATTTACATCCTTAACCTCCCAACTTTTATCCACAAAGGGTACCTATCTCCCTACGTCGAGCCAAAACGATAATACTAATAATTGTCCCGAGCGTCGAGCCAAAACGATAATACTACGGGTCGTGATGATAGGAGAGCGTTGCAATGCAACGCAACGCTGGCACAACTGACGAAACAAAAAGATTACTTTAGTATCTTTGAGTGAGTTATCTCGTGAGCGGATATTATCCTATTTGGGTTCTCTTCAAAACTTTTAGAAACATATCTGTTAGGGAGAGGCTTTCATGTGACTGATGTGGGATGTTACAATCTTACTATTGGTGTAACGTTTTAAAACTACTCGTGAACTTTCAAAATTAACATGTTAAACGATATTAATTAAACTTTTTTAAAATTTAAAGGGTATTTATGAATTAGGTATGGTTTTAATGTTTATCAAGAAAGTTTCGTTTTCCTCTATAACTGACTTGGGATCTCACAACACCCTTGTTAATTAGGAGTACATGAATTAACTGAGACTACCTTCAAATGAGAGCAATCCTAACCATATGATAGCTAAGAAAAATTTTAAAAGAATTAAAAATTACTACTTATACCAATAAAAGAGGTACTTTCATTTTCAGTGGCTCAATCATAGAAACTCAAGAATTAAAAGTGTTTTGGTTGAAGTAATTCTAGAACGAAATTGGTCTATGGAGATAGCTTTCACTCGAAAAAAAAAAGGTAAGTAATCTGACCATATCGTACGAGAGGCAGACGTGAGACAAGGGTGGTTAAGTGTCACTAAATTGCGTCGGATTCACGATGGCTCTTGTGCTAATTTATTCCTTTTTTTTTGTCTTTAAAGGAGGCAAAATTTTGGAATCTCTTGCGCTAATTATGTACGTGGGGGCGCTGGGAAAGCAAGCGGTGGGCGGCAACGTTCATAAGGTGCTGGTTCAGCGGCTCAGAGGACACCTTGCACGGCAACATGGGGCGGCACTACTGCAAGGACTGCTACATCCAAGGGTCGGTGGACTTCGTGTTCGGCGACGTACGGTTCCCCTTTTCACGCCATCACCAACATAGCTACGGCGCTCTTACCGCCCAGAAGAGGCACGGCCTGCTCCACGAAACCGGCTTCTCGTTGTGCGCGTTAAGGATAGAAAAGATCGGTACCAAAAACTGACTCTGATCACGGTGGCTATGATGCCCGTCGAAAGCAGTCCTTAGGTATTGCAGTCAACCTCATAGTTTCTACACCCGTTTAAGAAAGGTTTCATTTCTCTCTCGGACAGGACAGACGTGAGATCTTACCATTCACCTCTTTTGTGGGTCCAGGCTGACACATTCAATGTGGCTTTGACGCTATTTATAACAGCCCTAAAGTCACTGTTAACAGATATTATCCATTTTGACTCGTAAAAGTGAGGTTTCCACGCCCATGTGAAAAATGTTTCGTCCCCCTCTCCAAATGTGGTAGGATCTCGCAATCTACCTCCATTATGGGCCTAGTATCTGGCTTTGATATCATTTGTAACAACTAAAACCCACCGCGGATAGTATCCACCCATCTATTAGGGAGAGATTTTCACACATGTCTAAAAAATGTTTCATTTCTCTCCCTCCAATCAGTGCTAAAGCTTATAATCCACCTCTCTTATGGGCCCAACATTCTCACTAGCTTTTAATACCATTTGTAACAGTCCAAGCCCATCGCTAACAAATATTCTCCACTTAAATCCATTACATATTGTCGTCAGCCTCCCAACATCAAAATGTTTCTATTAGGAAGAAGTTTCCACACCCATACAAAAGTGTTTCGTTCCCCTCTCTAACCAATATAAAATCTCACATAACGTGACCATATTGACAGCATATCAGAACCACCAAATACTAAATCTAGATTTCAAATATTGGACACGAACACATTACACGAATACTTTTGTAATCGGAAAAACGTATCAAAAAAGAGAAAGCCCCGAAAGAGGAATGATAATAAAAGAAACAAACACAAAAAGAGTGGGGAGAAAGGGATATTTAAAAAAAGTGGATGGGACGTGAAAATATGGCTACCCCACAAAATGTACATTGTCACGCCTAATTCCAAAATCAAGTTGGGAGTGCCCATTATTTTGCCTTTCTTTATAAATCCATCGTGTTAATTCCACTCAATTAACCGTGTTCGTGGGTTGAATTGGATCGAATCAAGATATTTTATAGATCCACTTTAACTGTTCGAGCTGTAAATTATACAATCACAATTCATCGCTAATACCCGTGACATAATCTAAAACTAGGGTTAGTTGGATTATAACCTTATTTTTGGCGTTAGACGAACACGACTCTCCACAATCGTATGATATTGTCCACTTGAAGCATAAGCTCTCATGGGTACTCTCCACAATGATATGATATTGTCGACTTTGAGCATAAGCTTTCATGGCTTTGCTTTGGGCTTCCCCAAAAGGTCTCATTTCAATGGAGAGAGTATTCATTGAATATAAACCCATGATCATTCTCTAAATTAGTCGATGTAGGACTTTCATCATCCAACACCTCCCCTCGAACAA